GTCCCGTAGCCAGCGAGGAGCATTTTTGTTTAAGTGAGAGTGCAATGCTGCGGGAAGGCGAGGGAAAGCGGCTCAAAAACCCCTCTGCTGGTGTCAGGGGCAGGAGAAAGGCGGTGCCTCTTCGGGCAGAGGGGCCAAAAGCTTCGACACAGGAGCAGCGAGCGGCTACTGCAAGGCACGGCTAGCCTGCAAGCTTGAGAAACAGAGCCTCAAAGCAAGCCAGCTGCTCACTCCACTTCCAGTGTCCCCGGCGAAAAGACGACCACCCCCCCAAAAGGCTCCAGGCGAGAGGACAGGTTCTCCTAGCCAAAAAGTGCCCCCCCCCCCCCCATCCCGGTTGTTTCAAGTTGTGCCCCATGCTCCTACCCCAAAGTCAGACCCGAAGTCTCCAAGTCACGGCACCCCTCTCTCAGTTTCTCTGGCAGGAAAGCAGAGCTTAAGAGTCTGCTGGAAGCAATAACCAGCTTTCCCCGGGGAAAGCACCTGCACATCTCGCCTCCACGGGTGGGACTCAGCCCTCCAGAGATGGGGCAGTGGGTATAACAAACCTCTCCTTCTCCTGCTGACCCTTTCTGGCTGTGCTGAAGCCTGTTCACCTGTGCCTCGTTGAAAGCAGCAATCTTCTTCCCAGCAGGGCAGCTTGAGCAAAGCCTGTACTGGGAAAAGACGTGACTGTAGGGGGAAAAAAAAAAAAAAAAAAAAAAAAAAATCCCAACAAATTGTCTGGTCTCTTACCATCAATCAGTAAATCAGCCAAGAGCCTAGGTCCAGCTTCCTACAGCCGAGGGACACAGCACAGATGCCAATAGCCCTGCAAGGTACAGGGTAATTGGAGATTTATCTAGGCGGCCACGGGCTCCAGTGGCTTCACTTCTGATCTTAATGCTGAGCCGTGGCACAGCTTTGGTAAAAAGTAGTTCCTGCCAGCTGTGATTTTTACCCATCAAAGCAGGAGAAGGACCCTACCGCCACGCTGGCTGTACATCCAGACCCGTGGAGGAAAGCTGTTATGTCCAAATACCGTGTTGCCACTCAGGGCTACGCAGTGTGACAGCATTTTAAACACAGCTTGGAAAACCCTTGGCTCCCAGCCCTGCTCCGGCTCTGCCCAGCTCTTTCTCCCTTCCACCCAGCTCTGCTACTCCAAAAGAGGCACAGCCTGTTGGCATCCCCTGCCCGTGACCCTTCGGATCTCCACATCAGGAAAATGATTTCCAGGCCATCAACATCCAGATTGCATCAGTACAAAAAAAAAAAAAAAAAAAAAAAAAAAAAAAAAAAAAAAATCAAAACCTTTCCAAATATAGTCAAAGGCACAAGCCCTCCATGAAGCCAGTCAAGTAAAATACACATCAGGCCACCCTGTTTTCTGTAAAGGACATTAAAAAGTTAGAACAATTATCAGTCTGCAACTGATTTTTCCAAGTATCCTATCTCTTCAATGAAGCATCCAATCTCCTCCCACAATCTCCCCAGCAACTTTCCAAAATAAACAGATAAATAGAGAAAATAAAACATTCCCGATATAAAATTTCAGCCAGATTGGATGAATTTGGGGGCAGCTTGTAGAGTCTGAGATTGGAAGCGTTTGTCAGGAAGATTCCAGACTTGGTTTTTAACCTATGGAGACCAAGTGGCAAGCCGTCCCCTTCCCCCACGATTCAAGATCTCAGCAAGGAAAACGCCAGGAAATGAGAAGCAAGGGAAAAATACTACACATCTTTTGGGGTTGTATTTTTTTTTTTTTTTTTTAAACAACTCCCCTCCTACTCACTGCTGTCTCCAGACGATTTCTCTATCCCTACCACCTGCTTTTGGTCTCTTCTTTATCAAGCAGCATCAGGCTCTTCCCCATTATTCCCCCTGGGCTGTTAATGCCTTCCTCTGCCTGCGGATCTACCTCGCTGATTTATCACAGCGCTATCTGCCTGGACTCCACGAGCTGGCTTTGAGGCTCCCTTGCTGACAGGCTCCTTCTGCCATCTCAGGGCACCTCCCCGTGCTCTGTGTCTCCTTCTGTAAAATGAGAAGAGCACCTCCCGTGAGCCTTGGGAGAATAAAACACTGCTCATAAGCCTGAGGTTCCTGGGTAGCCTGGGGGAAAAATCATCTGCCCAGAGATGCTCCACAGGGGCTAGGAGAGAGGAATTAGCAGGCCTGGTGCTTTCTCTCTGGCTGCCTCTGTCCGCTCTTCCCTCCAGGCTCATTTTTGCACTGGGTTTGTAGTTGTGTGTGGGTCCCCTGTACAGCGGGATGCTCTCCCGGGCTCTGTGGGAGGAAGGAGCAGAAGGCTTCAAGGGAGTAGAGACAAATCCCCAGCCCCAGCACCCACCCAGGGATGAAGAGGTGGGAAACATCCCTGGCAACGTGTGGTGGGGAAAAGCTGAGGTGAAGGCAGGTTGTGGACCTGGGCAGAGTCCTAGGCGGGAGCTGGGCAGGTTAGTTGGGGCTGGAAGCCCACCCTGGCACAGCTCCATCCCTCGGCTCGGTGCCCAGCCCTGGCTGGTGAAGGGTAGCAGCACCTCCCAGGAGAGTCACCCTCCAGAGGTACAGCTCTGGCACCGCTGACTCTAGAGGGAGCTGAATGCCAGTGCTGAGCAGACACCCCGTTTTTAAGACCACCACATCTCAGGAAAGGGAGCCTAAGCCCAGGAACGTGCCCAGCCTCATCTGCCTATCTCAAAAGTGAGGTTAACCACCCCTCATTCCTCCCCAGTACCCCCAGGAGCTCTTTGCAGCAGCAAATCTCCCTTCTATTCGTCGCCAGGTTTCCTTAGGAAGCCAGGCATATGAAATCACAGTTTCCACGTCTGTCTGTCTGTTCACATCGCCCTCCCAATTTCAGCTAAAATCACCAGAGCCTTAGAGATAGTGAAGAAAGCCAAGTCCCTACAAGCCTCCTGAAAATAACTGGAGAGATACCACTCACGCCCTTGGCAAGGGAAAGACCAGTCAGTGAGCTCAGCCCATAGTGGATGCCAGAGCCCCGACCAGCACAGCACCCTGAGCACCTTGCAGCAGACCCAGGTGCAGCCAGGATTTGCACAACCGCTGGCACCTGTGCCCAGGAGCTCAGAGCACCTGCAGATCCTGGTACCCGGAGCTTAAAACAGACCTCCAGGTTGTTCTCTGTACCGGTTGCAAGGAGAGCTGGTATGGCATGCTGTTTATATTGGCTATGACCAACCTGTTGGTTGGTTGTCCGGTGATGCTCGTGCCTTGGGGGACACTGGGCTTTGTCATAGGAACTGAGTTTCGTTAGGATGCTGGAGAACAGTGGCTTTCCCCCACTAAGCCAGCAGGACCGTATCCACCCGAAAACACAGCAGAAAACCAAATTCTGTCCTGGATGCAATGCCAGAAAATTGCAGCCAGGACAGCCCTGAGCAGATCAGGACACCACCAAAGGCCCAAACAGGGCTGTGCCTGTACAGCAGCGTGCAAGGTGCTGGGGAGACTCCCCAAAGCAGGGATACGGGCTGAGTTCACGCCATGCCAGGAGAGTGAACTAGATGCAGCCTGGGCAGCTGCAGGACAGTAAATATTTAAGTCTCAGGAGCAGTTCCCAGCCAGAAGATCACAAAAATACTAGTGAAAGAAGAGGAGAGAGAAGCAAGCAAAGTTTCGTCAGCTTAAAACTGCTACTTGGTGTTGGCGTTCGGGGATGCTGGGCATAAAGAGCACGTCCAGTCACCCCAAATATCTTGAACAAATAATTGGTACAGAGGAGGCTTTTAGCAGCACGGCTCCCCAGCACTGGCTTAGGAGTTGATTATGCCTCCAGAGAAAGAGAGCTGGTGGGGTATAAGAGAAGTCAGGCAATTCATCAACTTTCCTGGGGAGACAGCTGGTGAGGGTTCACGGCTTGGCTGGCAGGTTATGGCTCTAGGCAGCGTCCCTTTTCTAAATAAAAGCGCACCTCTTCTCTTTGTGGTGGTGAGAAAAAGCGCCTGAACACCTAGGCAGGTGTCAGGAGAGTGCACAGAGAACCCCAACCTCTCTGAGCCCCCATCTCCACTGCCTGACTCGCTGACTTCCAACATCTGGACCGGAGGAACAGCTTCCTGTGAAACGCAAGCAAAGAGGAACCCTGAAATCAAACACTTGCACCCCCAACGCCTGTGACCTTGTGGTTTTACTACAGCTTTCATTTTTAGACTCCAGTTCTCCCTAGCGCTTGCTGCATTTCTACATCTCGGCTGTTGGCTTTCGCCCTGGAGACAGAGCTCGAGCGCCGGGTTGCTTCGCATGGCTCAGCAAGGAGGGAAGCAACAAGGCTGCGATTAAAGAATTAAACTCGAGATGACGGAAGAGCCCCAGCCATGCTTCCACCTAGACAAAGCCTACGTGATGAGCGCTGCTTAATGCCAGCCCTTCGTAACACACGCTGAGCAAGCCGAAAATGGGAATTTTGTCGGGGCTGCAGGTGCCGCCGACCACTCGCTCACCTCGGAAACCGTTTCAAGGCAGAAATCCCCGGGGGGGGGGGGGGGGGGGGCTGGAGGAAAAGCAGCCCTGCCCGGCGGCACGAACGCCCCCGCGCAAGGGAGAAGATGCCCGCAAGCCCCCCGGGGGAGGGAGGGGGGAGGGGGGGGGTTGGAACAGACGGTTTCTTCCAGCCCCCTCCCCGGCCCCACCTGCCGGGCAATGCCTTAGGGTAGGGGAGAGGCAACCCCCCCCCACCACCACCACCGCAGCCGCGCCTCCCTTCGCGACATGTCGCGATTGGCCGGCAGAGGAAGGGGGGGGGGGACGGGGACGACTACGAGCCCCATCGCCTGCCTAAAGGTGTCGTGGATAGGTTGCAAAAAGCATTCCCGATAGGGAAGGGGGGGGGGGGGGAAGCATCCTACCCTTGCCACCCCCACGGCTGCGGTCCCCCCCTATCCCGCTCCCCCATCCTCCCCCGGCATTGGGGACCCCGTGTCGCGGCGGACTCGTCGCGTTTAAGGCAGGGTTGGGGCCGGGGGGGTGGGGGGGGGGTTTGGTCGCGGTCCTACCTGGCGAGGGGCAGGAGCGGGAGCCGCCGGGGCTGGGTCAGTAGCGGCGAGGCATCGCGGGAATGGGGGGGGGGTGGGGGTGGGGGGGGCGGCTGAGCCCCGGGAAGGAGGGTTGGGGGGAGGGGGGGGGGGGGAAATGTGGGGGGGAAGCGGCGGAGCCCCGGTACGCGGCTGCGGCGCGGCGGGAGGAGGGAGGGAGGGAGGATGGAAGGATGGATGGAGGGAGGGAGGGCAGACACACAGACACAGACAGACACACGCAGAGCGCCCCGGGGATGCGCTCAGCCGGCCCGCCCCGCAGGCAGCCTCCCCTCCCTCCGCATCCCTCCGCGGGCAGAGAGAAATCCGCCGTCCCTCCGCGGTGGCAGCTCCAGCTCTCCTTCTTCTCCTCCTCCTCCTCCTCCTCCTCCCGCTGCTGGAAATATTTCCCGATTTCCTCCTCGGAGCGATGGACTTTGAAAGGCAGGGCTGGTTGCGGACCCACCCCCAGCAGCCCTGCCCTGCCCTGCCGGGGACAGTCCCCGTCCACGTTCTGCCTGTCCCCAGCCCTGCTGAACCGCAGGAGGGAGGGAGAGCTTGGGGAGGAGGGAAGCAGGAGTCGGGGGGGGGGGGGTCAAGGAGGGACGTGCTGTGTCGGCCACCGCGTCGCCCGTGGGGAGGCAGGAGGCCAGCAGCATCCCAAGGGCCCCGGGTTGAGCTTCGCCCCCTCCTCCGCATCACCGACGTCGTGGTGGTTGCAGAGGGGGGGGGGGGTGACAGGCAAGGAGGACACGGGGCTCTCCTGGGACCTCCCCCCCCAAAACTGTCCGGGTCATCCCCTGAACCCACAGAGCCTCCCGTCCCCACCGGGGGTTGGGGAGGTCCTGCAGAAAACCAGCAGCCTGGCTTGCAGCCCCTCAGGCTGGCCCGAGTGTCCTTCCCGTGGGCAATTTCCCCTTCACCGTAACAACCCCGCCACGGGCTCCAGCAAGGAGCGGATGAACTCATTGTCCCACCCTCCAGGCAAAAATCTGTGGCTTTAGGAACTTAAAATAGGACCAAAGTTAATAACTCACACACTGGTAGTTGCAAGGACCAACCAACCTTGAGTAGCCCTCTGCGCCCAGATCCTCAGGTGCAACAAGAGCCGTGGAGCAGCAGAGCCATTATTCCAGGTGCTACACCCTCTTACACCTTCTCCCTCTTATCTTGTCAGCTGTGCCTGTAATTTTTTCACCACCGACAAGACAGCAAGCCAGGATTTTACCTTTGGATTTCATTCGTGCTCTTCTTCCTTTTATTTTTGTAAGAATTTTGCATCGCCATGTCCTTCAGCAGAGATGGAAAATTAAAATTCTCTGTTCAGGATGAGGTGTAAGACATAGACAATGTCCCAAAACTACTGCTTTGTAAAGCGCTTCGTGATGATCTGACCAACCAACAAACCAGCTACTTGTTATTAGTATCACAGCTGTTATTGATATTATTTAATTTTGGTCTCACCTTATTAGAGCTTATTGCCTACACATGGGATGAAAGGCATTTCCCAATAAGAATTTGGCTTAGAAGATAAACGTGGTTTGGTGTCCAGTAGCCAACTCTGGTTGCCTGTCTCACCTCTTTTGGTTTAAAACCCCTCAGAGGAGGGATGGGGTTGCATCTGGTCATCACGTGTGGTACTTTGATGGGACTCGATTCTCCCAGCGGGGCTCCTGGTATAAAAATGAGCGCAACCAACGGTGTAGAGCGTGCACAGCGCTATGCTGGGATCAGGACCTGAGCAGAGCAGTGGGTGTGTAGCAGCGGCGTTTGGTTCGGCAGGGGCTGCAGCCACAACCTGGCATGGCAAACGGCCGGTGTGGGCAGGCAAAATTGGCATGGGTGCAGCCAGCAATCCCTGCTGTTGCTTTTCACCCTGCACGCTGAGATCTAATCGTGGCGGCAGCAGTAAGCAGCGGAACTCAGGCTTTAATTAGCTGTCAGCCATGAAGTTCTCCCTAAAGCTCCCCGTTTCCCTCCCTTACGTTGCTGACCTACTTCCCCGCTCTTTCACTGAACGTGGTACAAAACTCCTCTGGAGCACGGAGACTCTGCTGAGGGGGCTCCACCCGTGAGCTGTGCTCTGAGGGGCCAGGCGTGTCCCCAGTTCCTCCCAGCTCACCTCTCCCTGCAGCTTGCAGTGCGCGTTCTTGTCTCCCGCTGCCTCCTGCTGAGACCCTCAGAAAGGTCCCTTCCTCGAAGGGATTTTTGTGTCGTTTGAGGGGAGCTGAAGAAAACAAGAGTTTGTCAGTTTTTGCGGCGGTGCTCATTAGTCCATGCAAGCGAACCCTTTGTAGCACCCAGCTTTAATAGCACTGGGACAGAAAAGGTGAAACAGAGATGCTGTATTATCCCGTCTGCACCTGAAGGCAGCTTTCATCTGCCTGAAAAGTGACTGGCTAGGAGGGATATGAGGCTGGGAGGCTGAGAGAAAATATCCCCCACTCCCCAGTCCCTCACACACCCCTTTCTAGGCACTTTCAGACCTTCGATCTTTCACAGTCTCCAAGAGAAAGGTGGAGGTCGGGGAGTAGGGGAGACAGTGAGCCCGAATAATGAGAGGAGATAACTGTGTTCCAGGACTGCTCCACACCGCAGCGGCTGTGGCTCACACAGCTTTTTCTCAGCTGAAGCAGTAGCTGTGACAGCGCAGAGCTCTGCATGGGCTATGAAATCTGCTGGACAAGCTGAACAAATCCTCCTATGCTCTGCCTGGTGCTCCAGGCAAAAATGCAACAAGACTGCTCGTGTCCTGACACAGCAAGTTGGTCATGGTGTGGGCACGTCCGTGCTTCATCACAACAGCAGCCCGGGCTCTGCTGGGAGAGGCAGCGGCTTGCTCCAGCCCCCTTTCCTTCCCTGTCTCTCTCTGCAGTCATGCAGGTGAGCACCTACCACTTCAAATGCGCTTACAACCACCGATTAGTAATCGCAAAATCATGGAGATTCTCATGCCAGTGCTCACGAGCGGTTCATTCATTCATTCATTCATGCCCACCCACAGCTCTCTCCGACAGGAGCCTGCATCTCTCTGCAGTTGCTGGAGGAGGTCTCCGGGTATTGTCTCCGTACGCAGAGCAGAAAGACAATTCCTCCCTGCAAAGGTTAGTGGTCTGTGGACACCCAAGCACAGGACAGAATGGTGCAGGCCAACTCTCTGCTCAATGCCTCGTGGCCAAAAAAAGATATCCGAGCTCCTGCACATTTTAGAGCAGGGGGACACAAACCCTGAGGTATTTCTTGCTTGAAAAATTTTTGCCTTGTATTCCCTGTAAAAGGGTCAAGCGGCCAGGGCAAGGTCAGCCTTCAGCTCAGCCACAGCACGCTCACCTCCGAGCAGCTGTCCTATCACCCTTTCTTGGCCTTGTCTGGAACATCTCCTCAGTGGGATGCTTTGGTCTCTGCTCCAGCTTTTGGAGGTTCAGATAATGCTGGAGGGTAACCAGTGAGTCCTCACTGGTTAATTATCTCTGGTCGTGGTTCTCCTTGAGTCCTTCAGGAGATGCCAGAGAGATGCTGGACGAGCAGATGGGATGTCACCTCTGGCTTGCCATCCATCCGTCTTCGCTCCTCACCGCAGCAGGCTTGAGCACGTTCCCACCGAACCTTCTCTGCCTCTCCTCTGCAAGTTCTTGACTGAGACCCGGAGATCCCTGAGAGTGGTGTTTCTAAAAAAGACGCTCAGAAACATCGTTTCCAGCAACCTGAGCATTCCCTTTCAAATCTGCCTTTGCTGTTAAGAGGATGAAGCAAGCGTTTAAAAATGTGGCGTGCGGAGTGAGGCACGGCAGTTCTGTGTGTTGGCCATCACACACTTCTTTTGGAGCTCTCCTTAGCTGTTTCCAAGTAGCTGGTACAATCTGAGTCGTGACGAGCCCAGGTCTGAGCACATCACAGCTCTCCACTGGCCAACCCGAGGTCTAGGCTGTGGAAGGTGTCTTCCACCCCTGGGAAACTGAGCCTAAAGGCTATGCCCCAGGGAGAAGGCAGTGCTCAGTGGGGTGTTTTGGCACGGCTGGGAAAAATTAGCAGCGTATGGTTTAGTCTCACTGCAACGCTTTGGGAGCCCGCAGAGGTAACTGAAACCCCACGCTTGTGCTTCTTTCAAGCTTTGCCCCAAGTACTTGCTCTGTGCCGTGTTTTATGCAGGTTTAAACAACAAATCCAGAGTACTAATTGATGAGCGTGGCGTTTAACAGCTTGGGAGAGAGTTTTCCTGGAAAAAGCATTGAGTGGCCAAATTTCGCAGAGCACTGCTTGTGTGTGGCAGACACAAAATATTTGCACTGAAAACCACCTGCTGTGTGGGGGTTGAAAAAAAAAAAAAAAAAAAAAAGCAGAACTAGTTATAGGGGCTGGGCATGAATTTAGGGAGCTTGGAAATGAGGGGAGCTGCATTGTATTTTGCAAGCAGCTAGTCAGCAAAACAAGCCACATATTCTTTTCAAATTCTGCTTCAGAGTCTCACTTTTCTTTTTGAAAAAAATTGCTTTCTCATCATATAGGGATATACAGGAAAAATTCAGTATATGTGCAGAATGACTTTAGCACCTGGGCTTAATGTAAGAGATGTACAAGGCGCAAACTGTCTCTTTACTCTTCTCAAAGGAGTAGGAACTCAAAAGCTTTCTGACAGCTGTCTTTTGTCTCAACAGCGGTGCGTGTTCATACTAACATCTCATTCCCACCCCCATTTCACAGGCAAAAAACCAGTTCCTAGCCTGAGTCACTGGAAAATGAAGGGCCACATGTCCCCTGTCTGTCCCTTAGCGTCTTCTCCCACCAAAAAAACCTACAAAGCTTCGTTTTGGTGTTACAAAACCGCAGAATACAGAAGCTAAAATTGCAGATGCAAGGTCAACTGAAATGCATTTCCCAGTGAAAGCAATAGCCTAGGGACTTGGCTGCCTCCAAATGAGCGTTCTGCAAGGGGCCATGGAGTTGCAGCGTGCCAGCCCCAGGGCAGCACCACAACTGAGCAGGCACTAGCATTCTTCATTTGACGCTTCAGCTCTTTTCACCACCACCTCAAGGCTGCCCTGACCCTGGAAAAAATGTGGCTGAAAAAACCCCAACATCTTCTCCTCCTTCCCCCCCCCCCCCCCCAAATCTAGAATTAAAAAGCAACAAATGTTGTGTTCTCTGGATTTGACTTTTTCTTTTGAAACCCAGAGGTCTGATGTTTTCCGATTTACTTGATAACCAGAAATAAGTTAAAAAAAATGAAAAGAGATTAAATAGTAATATGTAATCACGTGACTCCAGGAGCTGGGGCTTTAAGAACAAAAAAAAAAAAAAAAAAAAAGCAAATACCATGATAATGTGGCAAGATCCAGGAGCTGTGTCCTGCAAACTGAGGACTGTGATGCTTCCTCAGCAGCTCCGGTGTCGCGCGAGGCCAAATCCCTCCTCTGATCTGTGTGCAAGGTTCCCAGTGCTACCAAGTGGGAGACACAGGATGAATCGGAC